AGGGCCTCCCAGGAGCTCTGAACGATTTTATTGTATCTCGCGTAGTAAAGGCTTGGTAGGGTTGCGTGGCCTTGAACCGCGTAAGAACCGGGTAAGACCATGGCATCTAAGCTGAGATTTCTTATATGCCAAATCACGGCCTCCATAAAGTCAACCACCTAAACCCCAATCATAATCCCGCCCCCCCCCCCCCCCCCCTTCCCATGCTTCGAAAAAGACAAGACAGGAGCTTTCGACGCCAATGCTGCCCATGAGCCCCAAGCACCGGCAACTTCATGGTCGATTCCCGAATTCGTCCCTTTCAAGGCTCCCCATTTTCATACGCACCCAGAAGACACCATCCTCCCCAGGTGAAGCCCAAGCGGCTGCCAGCAACGGCTGGGATGTGACTCCCAAAGATCTGAACGGAACCCGCTTGTGGAAGATGATCTCCTCCTTGACAAATGCTAAGATTGGGTATCGGGTCTAGGACTTTTAGGGCCCAGACTTTAGGACACAATTCGGCGCCTTGTTGCACTGTCACAGTTCCCAGCTGTAGCGTCGAGTTCAGTGTAGCGTTTCAGGGAAGCCTTGCAAACCTCCTCTTCAAGCAGCCTCCCCAACGGCCGAAAGGAATGCTAGATTGCATGTTTCGGGTGAATTGTGTAAGATGGGATTGGTGTTGTTGCTGACAGTGCGGCAGAAATTTAAGGGTTGGTTCGGCTTAAGTTTCTAGACATTCCCTGAACCCTAAACCCTTCTACCTTGCAGCCTTGTGTTTGCCGAACCTGCACAGTTCAGCAGCATATCGGCCGGGTCACTTGGTCCACGCTCTCGGAGGAGACTTCGACCTGTCTGGCTTGGCAGGGCAACTACTAAACCCCTAAAGTAATTAGGGGTTTAGGGTTTAGGGTTTAGGGCAAGTTTAGGGTCCCCCCGAAACCCCAAACCCCCAGGAACCCTTCGATGACGAGGCGGCGTGGGTTGTGGATGCCTGAAGATCTCATCAGTTGGCAGTTGCCGTTGCAAGTCCGGAAGGAACCTTTCTTCCTCTTTTTCTCAGCGGAATCAAAATCATAACACAGAATGCCTGACAAAATCTAAGCACGAAGCTGGGGAGCCTTGACGGCCTACATTTTTCTGATGCTTTTTGGGCTATAGGGTATAGATAAGGATTGGTTGGGGGTGCAAAGCCCGCAAACCTTCCAAACCCTAAGCCCCAAAACCCAAACCTCTTTAAACCCTTCCAAGAACCCGAGACTGCAGAAACTCCAAAGCCCAAGGGGTCCAAAGCCCTAAACTCCAAACCCCAAGCCTCTACACCCGAAACTCCCACACCCCCCCACCCCGCCCCCCCACCCCAAACAAAAACCCTACCCCACAACCCCGAAACCCGAGAAAAAGAAATGGAACTAGACCTGAGCGGCCGAAACCCCAAAAAACAACTCCCCCCCCCATCTCCTGTCCCCTCGCCCTCCCCCCGCCCCCTTGGACTCGCGGGCCTCCAGGGGCTTGGGCTTCACCTCCAGGGGTTTAGGAGTTATAGGTCAGTTTTTGTAGGATTCAGGGCGATAGTTTAACTGAAAAAGGTTCAGGGTCCATTGGGTTTAAGACTTCTGGTTTGGGACTTGAGGTACCGAAGGTGACCTGGCAAAGCTGCAGGGCCACCAAGGCAGGTTGCGTGCACGCAAACCACGAAGACCCGACAAAAACATCCAAAACATACAAGATCATGCTGAATGGGACACAGCCTTCCAGTTCAAAACCCGAAGTGCTTGAACCCTCAGGCTTAGAAATTTGTGCGTCATGAGCCATATGGTAAGCTCTGCAAAAGGATCCGCCCTCAAATCCCAGCTCTGCAAGCCGCGGATGGCGGCCTTTTTTACCCTAAACTTTGAAGAATGCCAGAGAGACCCAAAGCAGGCTCATCATGTACAGGTTACCCCTGAACATCTGAGGTGCCTTCGGTGACCCATCATACCGGGCGGAGCTCCCAGTATTGAGTCCTGCAGTCGCTTGAGGCTTTCGAGCTCCGCAAAAAGCATTTCGGGTTGGAGTTTGAGCCCTAAGACCTAACATTTTGCTGCCAAGTCTAATTGCTGGCCATGCTTTACAGGTCAACTGAAAACACTTCCAGTGATTGGGGAAGGAGCAGTCTTGCATCATGAGCAGCTTACCAGCTTGCCGATTATGCTCAACACGATTCCACTGCTGGCTTCCAGGCCGAAATGCCGTAGAGAAACATAAAGACCCACACTCCGCAACCCTCTCTTCAAGTGCACTCCCGAAGGAATCTTCAACACATGGATGGCAATCCTTCGAATGGGTTGACCTCCAAGCCGTCTTCGTTGACGTACACCCGTCGGCCATCATCCGACCATGTAAGTCGAGCAATCTTCATTTTTCGCCTGAGCTTCCTGAGATCAGGGCAATGCTCAAAGAACCGGCAGATTGCGAGCTGAGCTTGTCAGTGGCAGCATGGGCCTAGCTTGGCAAATGCCTGCCAAAAAGGCACCTCTAGGGGCCTAGGACTCAGAAACTTGCAACATGCGGGACAAAGGAGGCTGCAAAACGAATAAGCCCTGACTCCTTCAGCCTCGAACCCAAAGTACGCAAATTCTTTGCAGAGGAACCCCCAACGTACCACAAGCCTTTGTATAGGAACCTATAGAAAACCTAAGCCCTAACAAACCCCAAACCCCCCAGAAACGCCTCGGGGTAGTGTCCTGCGTCATGCGGGGCTGGATGATCTCCTCCTCAGCAGGGCTTAGGGATTTCGGAGTTGGCTGTGGCTGGGGATGAAGAGATTGGGGGCATACTCGGGCAGGGTTTCGGGCTCAGGGGTTTAGGGCGGGTGACTGATTTCAAAGCGCCTGAGGGCCGCAGTCATTGTGTTTCATGTTGATACAAAAGTCTCTACTTTCAAGGTTTGGTACATTCAAACTTCCAAACATAGAAGTCCTCGTCATCGTCCGCATCCGAGAAGGAGTCCTGCCCCAGTCTTGCGGTTTGTGGACACATATAAGGCAAAAAAATCTGAACTAACTCGAATCCCAAATCCGTGTGTGCAACCGTGCGGCGTCCTCCGAAGCAGCATCTGGTTCCGATGCGCTGCGCTCTCTACTGGCTTCAGCAGGCCTGGCAAATTTGCAAGGCACATTCCAACTACAAGTCTCCCGCCAGCTGCTGAGATAGCTCATATCCAATAAAATCAGACATGCTGGCCTGCGCGTGGTCGAGGAGCCGATTTCCCCCCCCCCCCGGCCCCCCCCTAACATAGACGACGTAAGATGGAAGTGCCAAGCATTGTGTTTGCAGCGGAACCAAGGTCAGACCACTCAGGCTTGGGCGTCTCGCTGGCATCTTCGTCTTGGACAACTTGGACGGCAATGCCTCCAGCCCAGAAATCCAAGCTCGCACCCTTTGAAGGGCTCCCTCAGGGGTTCTTGAAAAGATCAGTCCGAGGCAGGGAAAAGGAGTCCAAATACCTGGTTTAGGGTTTAGGGCGATTGTAAGCTGTTACAAGTACGGGAGGTTCGTCGCCAGAAGGCTTCAAGCCATGGGCAGTTAGATGTGTGAAGGTGCCGCCTCTGAAGCGATAGCCTCTTTATAGAAACAGCATTCTTGAACTTAGAATAATCATACACGTTCACTAGAGTTAGATGATCATCTTTTTGCAAGTATCTACACTGCTGCTGTAGAGTGAGCTTCATATCAGGTCAAAGGTGTGAAATCTCTTCAAGGAAGCAACATGCAAGAGGGCAATTGCATCTAACGCGATTATTAGTTTGTAGAGAAGCCTTTTATGTCAATGACAGGACTTGTAAGCTTTTCGTGAAACATTGATGTGGCTAGTTGGGTGAGTCAGTGTAGAGATGCAAAGCGTGTAACGGGCGTGTAGAGGCACCACGACGGCTAGCGGAGAGGGGAGGGAGGAATGCATAGCACAGAGTAAGACAAACAGTGATAGCTGCATTGCTGTACATGATACGTTCTACCGACGGTACATACGAGTCGTGTGCAAGTACATACTAGTATGTGCCCTCTGCCCGAAGCCTCTTTTTTCCTTACAAGACCCCGTATCAAGACTAAGCTCGTCAGCTCCATCTTGGGTAGGGCCCTTCCTCTGTTTAAGTTCTGTTCAGTAAATAAGTACTTTTGTTTAGTTAGCGGTTGCTCGCTATCAACAACCATGCTTTCTATGCATACGTTCCAAACACATAGCCCAACTTAATACTCTAATCAGGGGCTAGATTTTTAGAATAAGGAATGTGTACGTGTACAATTTATGTCGTAAACTACCCCAATCCCTATGCAACTACCCGTCCCCTTTGGACAAGGAAGACCGTGGAAAACCGTCTCAACACCTACATGCTAGACCCTGAGATCTGAACTTGGGCCCTAAACCCTAAGCCTCAAGGGGTTAAGGCTCGTACCCCGAAGGCTGCACCCCTTGAGAGGTTCCCTTGACGTACTCCGAATATGGCCCTTATACTCCCTTAGAGGATCTTTGCCAAACCCAAGGGTGCAACCAAAGGGGTCCAGAGCAAAATCCCATTGAAATCCCTGAACCCTGAACCCTGAACCCTGAACCCTGAACCCTGAACCCTGAACCCTAAACCCAAAACCCCATCTTTTGCGCAACCGGCGCTGGAGTCCCATGGCAGCCAACTTCGGCGTCCGACAGGAGCCAGAGTAGCAGTCGACTCAAAGCTCGAGTAGCAGTCGACTCAAAGCTCTGAACTCGAAGGCTGAGGGCATTTAGGGTATTAAGGGTTGGGCGTTTAGGGTGGGCTAGTTGATGTCGCCCCTCCATGAGAACGTCGATTTTGCTTCGGGTCTTGCAGGGTGCGGGTGCTCTTTCCTATCCTCTTAGAGACAGAGAACATCGTGAATTTTTTGGGCTGTAGCCGTTGAACAAATCACGACTTCGTTTCTGTAACCTACATCCTCAACCCTAGACCCTATAAGGCTTAAGGTATCTTAAGGGCTAAACCCTCAAACCTGCCGATGGGACTCACTCATCCGGAGGGCGCGGTGCGGAAGGGGAGGGCAACGGCCCAAACCCTGAGTCGGTCCAACATGTGCGGGGGTTTGGGGTTTAAGGCTTAGGGTTGAAGGTGTAGGGTTTCGGGGTTTATGTACAGTTTAGGGTCTAGGGTTCAGGGTTTAGGCCCATTGTTTGCTGATCATTTAGATCAACCCCCATAGGGGGGGGTGGCTCTGTACAGCGAATGGGCCATTCTCTGTTCAGGAGCTCTTAGGTACCCAAGGCCCCACATCTAGGGCTCAGCTGCTAGCAGGTGGATAGTTTGTAAGAGTCCATATGGCCCGCTGAAAAGCACGGGGGATTGCACAAGGTCAGTTCTAAAGCGTTGTACAGGAACGCCGTTCCCGGGTCGGGCTTAGGGTCCTAGAGTTCGGGGCGTAGGGTCCTAGGAGTAATTATGGTTTAGGGCTTTCCCCTCAAGAGCCTCCCTTTTCAGCCTTGCCTAGTCCTCAGAGGTGAAGTCCGAAACTCAAAGCACGCAGTGGGTGGAAGGCAGGAATTTTGTAGGGTTCAGGGTTTAGTTAGGGTTTTGGGTTAGGTTGAAGGTTCCAGCTAGCACTGCCCAAGGGACAGAAGTGACATCAGCAGCGGCAGGGCAACGACTGCAACGAGGCAGGAAACCTGGTGGATCTCTGCTTGGGGTGGGGTGGGCTTTGCGGGGCTTCCGTGACTTCTTGGGTCTCTAAGTCTTCTATCAACATACCTTACGGCCTCAGCCCTTAATAAGCCGTCCTACGAACCCTAAGCCGAGTGCACTTGGGCATTGCTCTTCGACCAAAGCCCTAGACCCCATGGGGCCCGAACCACCCATAGAAGCCCACAACTTTTTGAACGCTTGTGTCTGTAGGGTTTCGCTATTTAGCCAATATCAGTCCTTGGTCAGAATTTGGGCTGTAAATCCGGGATTTCTGCCTGGCACACGGAATTGCAGTAACCAGGCGGGCCCCCGAAATCCTACAAACAGTGTTCCTAAACTTCCTAAACTATCTAAGGAAAGCTATCTACACAAATATGTATTTAGAAACACGAAAATAATACATATACATATAAATATAAATAAAAATAAATAAATAAATACATAAATAAATAAGTATATATATATATGGGCGTCCGCCTATTGCGGTTCCCCTTATTTTTAAAGGTTTACATGAATGTATATATTTTAAACCCTAAACCATCGTTATAGCCGCAGCAACAAGTCGATAATGATGTAGGTACCCCAAATTTATAGGGTTAAGTTTGACAGGTTTAGGGCTTAAAGATTGAGGCATTTAAACGTAAGCCCGCAATGAAACCTAAACCCGAACCGTTCAACCCGATAGAGTTAAGGCTAAGCGGTTAGGGTTTAAGATTTAGGTGTTTTTAAACTTTATAAACCTAAACCCATAGAGATTTAACCTTAACGGTTGAAAGTTCGGGCAGTTAAACCTTAACCCTGAACCGTTTAGGGTCAGAACCCTAAAACCCGATAGGGCTCTACAAGGAACAAAGGTTTTGACCCTAAAGGGTGCTGAAGGTATACATGCCCAGACCTTAACCCTACAGGGTTTAAAGGCTTAGGGTTTAAGGTTTCGGCATTACCTGTACGATAGAACCTTAAAGCCCTATAGGGCTTGGAGCTTAAATCCCTAAACCTGAAATCCCATAGGGCTATGCCTACGTTTGTAGGGCTTTCTTCCCAATGACGCGAGAATACTGTGAGCAAATGTCCTTTTCACTACTTCCTAGGATTCAAAATATAAACAAACCATATCGTTACATGATAGAATTCAGGTTTTGCTTATCGGGAGATGGTTGCTTGAGCTATCTTAGGTAAAGTAAAGTTTTTGGGATAGAGGTTTTGTTTTGCTTATTGGGGCGTGATGGGGTTACCCTCATTTTCTGATAGGATATTTACATGTTTGTAAATCAAACCCTGAACCATAGCTATAACCACAGCAATAAGTTATAACCTTGTCATATACATATATCCGCAGAGCTTGTCAAATCCGATGATGATGTAGGCACCCCAACCCTAGAGGGTTAAGGTTGACAGGTTTAGGGTTAAAGATTGAAGCATTGAAACCTAAGCCGGCAATTCAACCTAAACCCGAACCTTTAAACCTATAGAGTTAAGGTTTAAGGGGTTGGGGTTTAGGACTTAGGCATTTAAAACGAAAACTCAAAGAGTTTTAATCTTAAGGGTTTAAAGTTCGGGCATTCAGACCTTAACCCTGAACCGTTTAGGGTCAGAACCCTAAAACCCGATAGGGCTCTACAAGGAACAAAGGTTTTGACCCTAAAGGGTGCTGAAGGTATACATGCCCAGACCTTAGGTTTTCTTGAACCATTCAACCCTACAGGGTTTAAAGGCTTAGGGTTTAAGGTTTGGGGGCATTAATTACCTATACAATAGAACCATAAAACCCCAGAGCACTTAGAGCTTAAATCCCCAAACCTTAAATCCCATAGGGTTATGCCTACGTTTGTAGGGCTTTCTTCGCAATGACGCAAGAATACTGTGAGCGAATGTCCTGACAACTACTTCATGGGATTCAAAATATAAACAAAGAGGATAATTCAAGTTTTGCTTATCGGGGATGGTTGCTTGAGCGATCTTAGGTAAGGTAAAGCTTTTAGGATAGACTGGTTTTGTTTTGCTTATTGGGGCGTGATGGGGTTGCCCTCATTTTCTTATAGGTTAATTTACATGTATATCAATCAAACCCTGAACCATAGTTATAACCGCAGCAAAAAGTTATAACCTTGTCATGTACATATATCCGCAGAGCTCGTCACTTTCACTACTTGCTGGGATTCAACATATACACAAACTATATCGTTAAATGATGGAGTTCAGGTGTTGCGTATCGGGGAATGGTTGCTTGAGATATTTTAGCTAAGGTAAAGTATTTGGGATATTTCGCTTGTTGGGGCGTGATGGGGTTCCCCTTATTCTTATGGGTTTACATAAGTGTATAAAAATCAAACCCTAACCGATAGTTATAACCACAGCAATAAGTTATAACCTTGTCATATAGAAATTTCCGCAGAGCTTGTCAAATCCGATGATGATGTAGGCACCCCAACCCTAGAGGGTTAAGGTTGACAGGTTTAGGGTTAAAGATTGAAGCATTGAAACCTGAGCCGGCAATTCAACCTAAACCCTAACCTTAAAACCCTATAGAGTCAGGGTTTAAGAGTTAGGGTTTAAGGCGCAATCCCATATAGTATACGTATACTTATGAGCAGAAAAGATACGGGAGACACTGCTTGCGATTCAGAATATTCGGAGCAGAAAGGATACAGGGGACACTGCTTGCGAATCAGAACTTTAGGAGCAGAAAAGATGCGGTCGAGGTACCTCGGCAGGAGAACCATTAAACCATTAAACCATTTAACCAATAAACCATTAAACCATTAAACCAATGGTTTCCCCCTTATGAGAATCCCCTAAACTAATAAACCATTAAACCATTAAACCAATGGTTTCCCCCTTCTGAAATCCCTTAAACCATTAAACCATTAAGCCATTAAACCATTAAACCATGAAACCATGAAACCATTAAACCATTAAACCATTAAACCATTAAACCATTAAACCATTAAACCACTGGTTGCCCGCCATGAAAATGGTTTAATGGTTTAGGGGATTCTCATATGGGGGAAACCATTGGTTTAATGGTTTAATGGTTTAATGGTTTAGGGGCTTTTCATAAGGGGGAAACCATTGGGTTAATGGTTTAATGGTTTAATAGTTTAATGGTTTAGGGGATTTTCAGAAGGGGGAAACCATTGGTTTAATGGTTTACTGGTATGGTTTAATGGTTTAATGGTTTAATGGTTTGGGGGGGAGACCATTGGTTTAATGGTTTAATGGTTAATTAATGGTTAAGGGGATTCTCCTATGGGGGAAACCATTGGTTTAATGGTTTAATGGTTTAATGGTTTAATGGTTTAATGGTTTAATGGTTTAATGGTTTAATGGTTTGAGGGGTTTTTGGTTAGATGGTTTAAGGGAATGTGCAAAAAACACAGGGGAACCGCTATAGGCGGTGACCCATATATATATATATATATATATAATCTGATATTCCCAGGGCCTACCGAGGTCGATGTTCTAGCCGAGTTTTCCGCCTGCTTATCCACGTGATAGCCTCTCGGATCACCCGTCCTCCGTGCCTTCGGGCTTCCCCCTCGTGCCTTCTACGAACACCGCCAAACCCTAAACCCTAAACCCGAAACCCTAAACCCTAAACTCTCTTTGTCATGACTTCCTCAACAAGAAGTGTTGCATCTCCCACCAACGACCGAAGGTAGCTATGACAGCTAACGGTATTGGCAGCAGAACCCACTGTACACTAGTCACTAATCAACCTCTTGGCAAAGTTGGGAAGACAACATGGGCTTGAGCTTCTACATTACATGCTGCTGGGAGTCCGCTGTTGTCACAGGCTCATGCCAGTCCAGCATCGGGTAGATGGGGCAAGCATGCCTCCGGCTGCTTCATTTTCAGCTTTGGAGCGGGAAGCTGGGCTAGGCACTGATGCCCCTCATGTAGGATCCAGAAACCGGGGCAGCCCTAGCCCGAGATATCTGCTAAAGGCTGTGGGCTGCAATCTTCTTTGCATCCGAAGGCCCTCATGGTTTCGACCTTCTCCATGCAGCTGTGCTGTAGGAAGTGTGCCCTGGCCTCTCGTAGTTTCGGCAGCCTTGTAATCGTCCGATCTTCGCTACATGATGCAGGATGCTCCAGGAAGTGAAGAGGATCATGTACACCACCAAGAAGAAGAAATACCTGCCATGACAGTTTCAAAAAGCCAGAGCGGTCGAGGCTAGGGGCTTCAGGGAATACTTGGGGGGATTCAATGCTCCCTGCACCTGTCGAACCCCGCTTGAAGATGAAGGTTCTTAGACATTCAGTATATGTATATGACTGCCCAACCTACGAGCAAACAAAAACACCCTGCAGTACTAGACAGCCAGATGCGAAGACCTGCCCAAATCCTTGAAATGGGGTGATGGAGAGAGTTCGTACAGCTGTCGCTGTCCACCCGGCAATACCAAGCCCATGTCACACAAACACGACATGATTTCCAATCGACTCTTGCTAGAGGACCTGCTATGCTAGGGTTTAAGGGATAAGTTTAGGGTTCAGGGTTTCGTGGGTTTGGGGCTTGAAGCTTCTTGCACTCTGTCCAGTACGTCGTGAAGCCTGCAATGAGCGAGTCTGGCTTCACCCGCAGCTTGTCGCACATTGCACACCCGCCCAACCCCACAACTTGGTTTACAAGAAAGGCCGAACTCGACCAGATGTTTGGGAAGCTTAACTTTGCATGCATGGGAGCAAAACGGAAATACGGCGACGGTTGCTGTTGCTATCATAAGTGTAGTACTGCTACTCCTACTCCAGATTTCAGACGTCGAGTCCTTCTTTGCTTCTACACTCACCGGCCCATTTCGGGCCTTAAAGCAAAGGCACAGCCGCCGAGCAGTAAGTCTGCCAGTGCCAGCACCGCGCTGATCCCATGCGCGAAGGCCGTGGTGTAGACAATCCTAGCATGCAAGGCCCACGAGCCCTTACAAATACCACGAACCCCAAACGCCCAAATTCTAGTGAGCCTTGCCCCAGCCTAAACCCGAGATCATGAAACCACCCTTAAACGAAGCCCTGGGGCTTCATAATCCGGCCATGCCTAGGGGTTTAGGGTTTAGGGTCTAGGTTGAAGGTTCAAAGAGATATGAATGCAATTGTGCTGCAAGTCAGTTCTTACTTGAACACCAACACACTTTGACCTAGAATACCCTACGCCTTGCACCGTCAACCCGTCGTCCTGCATCTCTTCTAAGGGCTTAGGGTTTGAAGTTTACGGGGCTAAACCCTGAACACAGAATCCTAAACGAGAAAACGTGAACCTAAACACAAAAATTAAACAACTAAACCCCTAAACCCCTAACCCTGAATCCGAAAACAAACCCCCGACGCGCCGAAGCCTAAGCCCAAAACCTCAACACCACAGAACACCCAAACCTAGAACCCGAACATGCTCTATTCATCTTCACCCGCTTCTTCTTGCACCTGAGATGCGCGGCATGGCTCTCATGGGCCGGGAAGGTGGCCCAGTATCCCAGGGCCACCTCCATCAGCTTCGGGGTTTATAGGGTTTCGGGTTCAGGGGTTAAAGGGTTGAGGGTTTAGGCTGCAGGGGGTCTCGGGTAGTTGCAGGTCTACCTATGGGTCACTACCTCGAGGCTTCTATCCTCCGCTCACCCTTGTTTATTGACGCCTTCTTCTGGACTGAGGTTCTTGTTTAGGAATGATCGGCTATACCAGACCCGGTCGACCCTTGCGTTTTCGCCGAAGGGTGCTTGAGTACTGTGCCGCGATTGAGCAGCTTCCCGAAACGTCTTCGTTAGAGCAGATGCCCCTATACTCTGTACCATAATTTGCCCCAGGCAAGCCTCAAAGCTAGAGACCCGCCAAACTAACCTGGAAGCCACGGACCCTCTACACTTCGACCCTAAACCCTAAACCCTCAACCCTCAACCCTAATTAAACCTTAGCCCTTCATCGTGGATGGTGCTTCCGTCACTTGTGACGGCGCATCTAAGGCCGCCGCCAGCAGTGAGCCCGGCACACAGAGGTGCATGAGAGCAACGCAGAGCCTGCGGCGAGGCAAAGGCATGGCCAGCTCTCTGAAGTCTGTTCCCTTTTGGGGGGGTCTCTGTTCTTATGGGGCCCGGTTATTCGTCATGTGTATTCATAAGGTACGCGAGGAAGGCCCTTAAGGGATCATTCTGCAGAGAACTGGCAACATGCTTTCAGGGCTGATCTGGTCTAGGGAGCAAGCTCCATTAGGACGAAGGTCCATGTCAGATCCTCCGGTCAGGGACCTAGATGGGTACGGGACCCTAACCGAAACAGAACTTGCGCGCATGCAAGTGTAGATAAAGCAAGGAACTACTGAGGACGATGATCTTCGGGTTACTGCGGTAGATGCGTAGCTTCACCTGGACACGAGTGTTGAGAACGTTTTAGTTTCACATGCTGGCTTGGCAGGGCCTGGCAAACCAGGGGAGAGCCACCTTCTCACTTCGTTGGATCCTGGCAAAAGCTGCAGTTTTTAATCGAGGAAGGGGACGGCGAGACGGCCTTAAAATACTTTTCCTGCACCTTTTGGCAGTGCTTCCCACAAGCTCAGCGTCGTTGCTGCGGACAGGCTGCGTGGTCCGTTGGGCTTTCCAGGTCGTAAACACCGCCAAGGCAAAGTAGATCGCTTGTGCAAGCAGGATCCAAGCGGTGAACCTTGGAGGGCGAGCATCCGGGCCTCCAAACGTGTAAACACACACATTACGCTTTGGAACTCGTGGCGAGCGGCGAATTTGGGCCAGCAATCGCATGCTGAGACGCTGGATGAGGTAGTACCCCTCCCACCAGAAGTCGCCCATGTCCACCCCAAGATGCGCCAGGAAAATGAGAAGAAGCAGTGCTCGTGAGAGCAAGAAACCTGCATCTGAAACTTGGACAAAGGGACATTTAGTGTCTCAGGGCTTAGCAGGTTTCGGGGACAAGACAAGATTTTCAAATCCTGCAGTTCTTCAGCCCATCTTGGCTACCGGTAGAAGCTCGACGGACCCGAGCCGCAAAATCCCAAACCGAATAAATCGGCCTCTTCTCCAAGTAGGGCACCAGGGTGAGCTGCCAAACACATCAGGCCAGCGGGCATTGTTCTCCTCAGTGTGGAGGAACGACCGAAAAGCTGCAGGATGATGAGGCGTAAAATTTAAAGAGTGTCCCATGTGCTTTGTTCTCTGTTCACAAGGGATTACATCGCAGAAGTTACCTGAAAGGGGACCCTGACATAGAACAACCCCGATGTGTCTAACTAGTGCAGCGGTAGTAGTACGGCAAGGGTGGGAGACACTACGACAGGGATGCCGTGCTGCAGAAGTGCCTACCCTGACACGCAAGCTTGGGGTTTAGGGTCTAGTGGCTATAGGAGTCTAAGGCCCAAGGCGATGTAACCCTAAACACCAAACCCTATACCCCAAACCCTAAACCGTAAACCCCAAACCCTAAACCCTAAAACCCTATAAACCCTAAACCCTTCTCAACTAAGCCCCAACTCAGCCAGGGGACGCTGGTGGCGAAGATTGTCAGCTGCTGAGGTGCCTGATGACTTGTCTTCAAAACTCTTTGATGCTCAAGTTGCCGATTCATGTTCCGAGGGTTTAGGGTTTCGGGTTGAGGGTTTTAGGGGCTTGAGATTTAGGGCTGAGGGTTTGAGGTTTCGGGCTGAGGGGTCTTAAGTACGGTTGAGGGCTCAGGGATTCTGGAGGCTTCAGTGCTGAAGCTCGCCTAGTGATCGGAACCAGCCTTGTCATCCAAGGTTCCCTGCAGCCACTCCCCCCCAAAAACAACAAAAACACATATAAATGAGCTTCGTGCCCTGAGGCCGGCACAACATGATCAGGGCTTTAGTCGTACGACTAAGGGCAAGTGCCTGAAGTGATTCCTCATTCATGAGTATCTCGAAGTTATTAGTGTTGTGAGATGGAACCGCCATGGTATTAAGCTGCTGAGAGCTGCAGCTCACAGGCAGATAAACATCCCAAACCTTGTCCTGGGTTAAGGGCATAGGGTAATCCCTTGGCCTGAAATTCGCGTCGCAAACGTCCGCAGCAGGGACGGCCATGGCTTCTGTGGTTCTCCTTGCCAGTGCCTTCGGCACCGGCAAGCTCACAAGCAGGAGGCTCGATCACTTGTGGAGCCATCCCTGCAGGATGAGCTGAGCTTGACAGAGCGCATGTATGTATAATCTGTATACATGTTCTGCTATGTTCTGCTCGGACCTAAACCCACAAGAAGGTACTTGTCAGGTAATGGTCTGATCAACTCAGACGCGTTTGGGGCTTGGATTCTAGGTGGCAGAAAGGTTGGAGGTTGGAGGTTTGGCGGCGAGAGTTTCAGTTGGTGTTAAAAGTCCTCTGGCTTTGCAGAACCACGTGAGCCTCGGAGGTTGCAGTGAAGGCGGGGTGGTTTGGGGGCTCCTAGGATGCTAGGAGCTAGGCCAACTAGACCCTAAACCCTCCACCCTAAGACTGGGGGGCAGAAGACCGGTGACTTTTGTTAACTCCGACTTGTGGGTTTAGGGTTTAGGGTTTAGGGGGTCTGAGGACTTGAGTTCTTGGTATGTAGGGAATCACTCCAAGGAACGTTTTTTTAATCTGTGTTTTTTTTTAAATATTTTTTGTTTAACATTTCTTTTGCGATGGCCGTCCATTCTCAAGATCCTGAGACAAAGTGCGAATCCCGCCGTGTACATCTGAACGTAGTCGATAACAATACACAAATGTGGTACCCGTTTTGGTGCTGTTTAGCTTTAATTACATTCTACCAGTGGGCTTCCTAGTAAAAACTGAAGTTGTTAGAGATCCTCGACTCCTAAACCGCCAGTCTCCAAAAACCCGAACTCAAACTTACAACGTTTCCAGGGTTGAGCGCTTAGTAGGTTCAACTGTAAAACCTTCCCCCCCGAAGCCACAGCCGCACACCCTCTAACGCTGCCCTGCTACAGACTCTCTAAGCTCGTTCCTATGCTTCAGGCCCTTACCAGTCCGAACCCTAAACCCTGAACCTGCAAAACCCAAACCTCGCACCCCAAATCCTGGACTCCGAGCCCTATCGACCCCAAACCCTAAACCCTAAACCCTAAACCCTAAACCCTAAACCCTAATCCCTAAACCCTAAACCCTAAACCCTAAACCCCAAACCCTAAACCCTAACCCTAAACCCGAGACCCTAAATCCCGCTTCGGCCTGGCGCATCGCCCTTGACTGCTTCGCCACTGAAGGCGCCCCGGGCTCTCCGAGCCAAGGCCGAGCGCCTCTAGGTTCTAGGGTTTAGATTTCCGTTTGAGAACTCGGGTGTTAGGGTTCAGGATTTCGGATAGAAGGTTTATGGCAAAGGGATCAGGGTTTAGGGCAGAGGGTGAGGAGTCATTTGATTGCAGTTCCTTCTTGAACTCTTGCTTCAAAGTCTGGGCATATAAACTCAAGAGTCGAGGTTCCCGAGGTCTAACGCGATTGTCACTGGGTTGCTTAGTACCCGCCTGCCCCTTTGTTGGTTCAAGTAGGATGATCAGGGATCCCAAGTAGGTTGTCAAGGGACCCTACACCTAAAGAATGGAAAGCAAAGGGTACTACTTGGGTGTCCTGGGATTTGGGGACTCCAGCCTCTTCCCGACAGCCAGCAGCGACACGGTGGACGACGCCAATGCAACCCGTACCTCTTTTTCGGGGCTTTTTGTGGCGTTTCGGGAACTCAAAAGGTAGAGTTTATAAGGCCCTAAACCCCACACTCTAAACCCTGAACCGTGAACCTTGGGATATTACATCGCTCTGCTGCCTTCGTGTAGGGGTCAGGTCATAGGGCTTTGGGTCCTGCCTTACTTGCCGGAGTTGCAATGATAGCTTCGAAAACTACATCGGCTGCACGAACTCGAAGTGTGTTCGGAGCAGCTCTGCTGACTATACTGCTACACAAGATGCTTCGGAGCTAGTTTGTCCACCACGACGGCCTATCGTGAACCACGGAATGGTCCGCTGTCAAGCCTCGGCTACCTCATCGTAGATTGCCATCATCGCAAATTAACGTTGGCTTCGCGACAATGCTCTCTGGTGTACCCCCCCCCCCCACCAAACTAAACGCCCTAAACACGCAAAGCTCATCTCCAGCACACGAAAGCGCAGGAAGTCCTTTGTGGCCACTCCGCGTCAGCGCGACAACTCTTTTGAAGCATCTGCACCCAGCTTTCATTGGAGGAGTCACCAAAGGGCACAGCTACCTGCCTTCATGCGAAACATGCTTCACCCGCGACTATACGACTGAGCCTTTTGAGTCCTTTCAAGATTCGCGAAAAAACACGCAGTGCTGGGTACAGATGCTTGCAGGAAGTTTGTGCCAGATGCTTCAGCCGGCGATATGTCTATCGCTGCTGTATCACCTCTAAGTCAGGAACTGCCTCTGGCAGCAGGTGGTCCTTTCCTCAGATTACAGCAAGACTCAAAGCCCACAGGCACTTGCTACGCCGCAGCGTGTGAAATCACCTTCAGATGCACATTGCCACCTTTCTTTGCCAGCTTTCTGAAGGGATTCAAAGGGCAAATGGGTTTAACAATCGACGCATTATCGCCCATCTTGCCAAGGTTTCCACATTCCCAACAGCTAAGCTTGTTTGCTTCAATGGTGTCTCATGATGGGACCCCTACAAACAGGAGACAAGGGGGCACCCTTTGGAGGAGCCCTAGCTTGAAAGCAGCTGTGTGGCCGTTCCCGGTGGGATCCATGGCCAAGTTCTCCTGGCTTGTGCATTTGGGGCCGGGTTAAGGGGCACCGGGAGCCCTCAGGAAACCCTGAAGCCCAACGTCTGCAAGCCTGTGCGCCCTCAGATCCGTACTTGCTGCGCACGAAAGCGACATGATCTCCCTGACGAATCAACTTCCAGGACCCTGTTCCTAAACCTTAGTAGCAAGTCATAGTTGGTTTCAAATCTTAGTTCAATTTCTGAAACAAGTAAATATTCAGACTTATGTTCATAGAAATTACATTTTGTGAGGGCCGAACATTACAAAACCGCGGCTGGGTCTGAAACTGTAGCCTCTCAATAGCCGTTGTCATGTAGAATTGAATGATGTCTTTATTTCCGCGAAACCCGTGTTTCGTGAGTAATCTTCAGTTGGGCCCCAATGCCAAGCAAGTCTCGAGGCTGTGCGGCACTTTCACGCAAGGGGCGTCTACGCTGAAGCCACCATGGTAGGAGTCGGAGCCGCCAAACCTCTTAGAAGAGCGGATGCTCGGATATGCTCGGGTATTAGGTTCTAGGGTTTAGGGTTTGTAGCCTTTGGTTCAGGGTTAGTACTTTGAGGTGTTGGGGGGCGGGGGCGACCTTCAACAAGGCCTACCGGAAGATCTACCGAAGTTGCGAGCGCAATCTCGCAGGTCGCTGCTAAACTTCATGTCATGAATGTACCCAGGTCTACAGACATACCGGGCATGATCTCTTACCTGGAACCCCTCCAGCCCTAAGCCAAACCAGCGCAGAGATTCTAGTTGCCCCTGGAAGCCTGAGCCCTTCATCCAAGTGGAGCCCCAAGCAGCCTATAGGCTCATGACGCAAACCAAATTGCCACCTGACTGAGGTGCTTTACATTTAGAGGGAGCTCTGGGCTTGGCGTGTTTTGAGGGGGGCGCGGAGGGCTTTCAGCAGGTCAAGGCTTGTGCTGCTCAAGGTGCTTCTCCGCCAGAGCCACCTTCTCGGATGGCTGCCTTGGATGCCCAAGAAACTAAGCCATGAACTTTGCAGACTAGGAAAACATGCTGCAACGGAATCCCTTGAGAAGAGCTCGGAAGGCTCGGCAGCCACTAGCTCGTTGCAGTTGGCTTCTTGCCATCTTCTCGCCCTGTGATTGCCCCCGTATTGGAACCCTCACAAGAACAGTGCTAGCGTTGTTGGATTTGGGCTTTAAACAGCCTCTTGCACCAACCTCCTGGAGGTTCGTGACCTAGGTTCCGCAAGGTACCGAGCAGCCACGAGCAGCGACCCAGTCCACATGCATCGAAAGCCCTAAACCCTAAACCCTCAAACCCCCCCAATGCTGAACTTCAAGGCCGTCGCTGCCTGGAGGAGAGAAAACAGGCAGCCGGTGGCAAATCTCCAAAGAACGACACCTCCACACTACGCAGCCGTGTGGCAGTGTTCCCTCGGGCTGACAGCGGTGAAAGCAGTACCTGAGCTGAAGAGTTTGGGCTTCGGGGGTTTAAGAGTTTAGGCGCTTACGGCTTTAGGGCTCAGGGTGTTTCGGGGTCCCTGGGCTTCGAGCTTCGGCTTGAACTAAAGATGCGGATGGCCAATCTTTCGGAGATGTGGAGTTCCCGACGGGGAGGGTTGGGGAATGTACCCGACGCTTGGGAACAAGCTGTGCTTTGCCATGGCACCTGTCCATGTCCACGATTGTCACGTGAGTGAAGACCTGAACCAGAACAAGTGGAGCTCCCGCATTTTCTGTGGTACCAAGCAACCAAGATGGCTCAAGGTGCGCTTCTGCACTGAACTCTAAAGTGACCCTCTCCTTTTCCGAGCCCCAAGACCTTCACGCTTTGGGTCTCTTCGGCCTCGTCATCCACAGCTGTGCACTCAGAGGCGCATGAGCCGGCAAGGCTCGCCGGCGCAGCACACTTCGACATGTGCTGGCCTTTGTGTTCCAGGGTTCGGGGTCTTTGAGGGTTTAGGTGAGGGTACTTGAATGCTGCATACCCTGTAACTAAGTTGCGAACCCAATCTCAATCTCAAATCCAATCAGCCCTATAGACTATGGACCCAAAAGCCCTGCAAATCCTAAGGCCCTGTAATCCTTGTAAGACAGATCATATTCTAGGACTATCTTGTATATGACACATCTATTGTACATATGCAATATAAAGACAAGTGTGTATCATATGTGTATATATATATATGTGTAGAGACATATACCGAAACAGACATTGAGATTGAAAGAGAAAGAGAAACAGAAATAGAAATAGAGACAGAAACAGAAAATAACCATGTATACATAGAAATAGAAATATAAAAACAAATAAAAATATAACTATGAATATATGTATATATATACATATATATATATATACCACATCCCGGCAAGCGCTAACTCGAGGTCCACCTCCAGCTTCATCAGGTCGCCGACGCTCCACGACGCAGCAGTGGCAGCTGCACCTCGAGGCTGGGCTTTGAGGGTTTGGGGGGTTTAGGGTTTAGGGTTTGGGGTTTAGGGTTTAGGGCAAAGTTTAGGGTTTTTGAGGGTTTGGGGGTTTACGGAGCTGACTTTGGGGGTTTAGGGGCTCCGGGCTTCTAGGGTTTCCGAGCTTCTGTTTAGAGTGGGTTTGGGTTCAGTCGCTTTGCTTTTTGGCCTCCGACATTTTTTGTTCTGAGGGTTTAGGACTGAGGGTTCCTTAGAGGGTTTCTGAGGGTTTGGGTGTAGGTTTTAGTTTTGTTCTACAAGCCTGCCTTTTTCTTATTATAGGACTTCCAGCGCTAGTCATTTACAGGGCATCTGGGGTTTGTATACGGTTTAGGCGTTTAGGGCATATTTCGTTCTGGATGGCCGCCTTTGGTGATTGGATGCTTGGTGCTTTTGGGATTCTCTCGGAGCCTGCCATGGAGGTACCGGCCTCAGCTTTTGGGAGCAGCCGGCCTCACCACCGGGCCTTGTTATTTCTTCTCTGAGATTTCTTCGTGGGCATAGGAGAATGTGCCCCGCTGTCATTTCACTTTCCGCAATCAACGACAAGATGCCACGCAGCTGCAACACAGGGAACGTGCATCGCTGGAGACGACCACCGCTATTGAAAGACTGGCCTATATGCAGCCGCTTCATGTGCATGCTTGGCCTACCAACCACACCATGGTCTCACTTCATACACAAACGCCTTCAACTTTCAAGACAATTCGCATTTTGTTTGTAATCGTGTTTGAGTCTAGTGACCATGCGGTGCTTGGAAGTAGGCACCATGCCACAGTTGCTCCAATGGTGCATGGCATTCCGGGGTTCTTATGCTCGTCGGGTCCACTAGTCGAGCGGCTACATGTGCGAGGCTGCAAGCAAGCGGTGCTTAAATCCACGACCTCGAGCGGCGACTCTGTAAACGACCCGCTCTCACCCCCAACGTCCTCTTTAGGGATTACACGCTTCATGCTATAAGAAGGAGGGTTAGGGTTCATGCGGGGTCAGAGGGCTTCCGGTTTTGGAGGGTTTCGGGCGAAATCCGACGCGCCTTGGAGAGGTAATCGTTCCGTCGTAGACCTGGAATTGGCAAGCTGCCACGAGAAGTGCTATATAGCAATACTACATGAATCGAGAGTGCCTTGAACTTAGGGGATGTCCAGATTTTTGTAGCTTTTGCCATAGACCTGCACGAACACAACATGAAAATCAGATTTGAGAGGTTGGGTTTCATGAAATGTGGATATTGAGGCGCTGAATAATCTGAAAACATCTGAACAGATCTGACAAATCCGAGGGTGAGGGGGGGAGGGGAACCCGAAATTAAGAAATTGTGGGGCTGGATTTCAGAAATTTAACTAGGGCGGGACTGGACTTCTTACGTAATCAAAGCAACTGCGGAGCTGAATTCTTATTTGAGGGATGAGTGGGCTAGGAAATAGATTTAGAAATCGAGGGTACCCTAAAGATTCTGAGCTGATTTGTTCGAAAAGTGCAGGCGCTTCATAATCAAGACATCGAGGGTACCCTCATTGAAAGTTAGACTTTCCTTATCGAAAAGTCACAACGTGGTTTACATGCATAATGTTGGCAAGCATTTTGGATCCTGAAATTTCTTAAGCACGCATTCTCACCCGAAGCCTCCAGATCCAGACCCTAACCACCCAGAAAGCAAAATCAGCAGAGGAGGCAAGGAAGCGTTTTCAACTCTCACCTTTTCAACCTCGCCAAGTGCCTTCCTCTGAACTGGGTACCGGCAGGTTGGCCCTGGAAACCCCATCTTCAACGCACGTTCTTGAATAAGATCCTCTTCTGCCCAGTACGGGAAACCCAAGCAAGCAGGTCCCCCCTTAAAGCACCTTAGTGAGGCTTAATTATCCCTAGCCAGCCTTAATTATTCGGGGAACCTGGGGGGGGCCGGGGGGGGCAGGTCAGCAGCCAGGCGGCCGGGAAGATTCCTCGTGCCCGGGCTGCACGCAGGCCACTCGCAGCTGCCAGCGATAGCAGGCCTGGATCTTGGAAGCTGTAAACTCGACCCAGGGAGTCGCCTAGGAATAAAAAGGGCCCCCTTTTTGCGTAAGGGAACCCCACCCCTGCAAGAAGGAAATAAGGGCCTATTCCGCGTCCTAGTAAATGACTAACTTTGGGGTTTTGGGGTGCAAGCTTTAGAAACAGTTATAGAGCTATAAACTGCAAGGACTCGCAAGGCCTATGTACTTTTGCAGGCTGAGGGTCTACCCATGTTCTATGCAGGCTGCATGCATCCTGAAGGACAGGCTCCAGCGCACCCTCAACCCTCAACCCGAGGGTTTAGGGTTTAGGGTTTAGGGTTTAGGGTTTAGGGTTTAGGGTTTAGGGTTTAGGGTTTAGGGTTTAGGGTTTAAAGCTGCAACCAGGACGCTGTGGAGAAGTACAGGAATCAGTGCACGGCCCATGATGAGCGGAGGCGGTGTCGAGGAGGCGACCCCGAGGCCTATAGTATGATACCGTAAGGGCCCTGAGATTTTGTTGTCCTGGAGTGTACCTGCCTTAAGGAGCCATCTATCCCACACATCCCATATATCCGAAACCGTAAACCCCTAAACCCGAAACCCGAAACCCTAAACCCGAAACCCAAAGGCAGGGGCTTCTCCAGACTGTGGGCTGATCAGCCCTCGGCAAATGCCGCTTCGTTGGAGCGCAGACTCGAGCCCAAAGGAGGCTGCAAAAGGGTTCAGGGGTTAGGGTTTAGGGGTTTAGGGTTTAGGGTTCAGGGTTCAAGGTTTAGCGTTTATATAGAGTTTAGGGTTCATGGCTTAGGGGTTAATTGGGGTTCAGGGTTTAGGGTTTGGGGCTTAGGGTTCAGGGCTTAGAGGTTAATTAGGGTTTAGGGTTCAGGGTTCAGGGCTTAGGGTTTAGGGTTCAGGGCTTAGGGTTCTGGGTTCAGGGCTTAGGGCTGGGTCTATAGAGCGTATGTGGGATATGGTTAAGGGCATTTTTTCGATGTTTAGGTCTTTAGGACCTATAGGGGGTCTTACTGCAGGGCAAAGGGGATGTTCCTTAACGGGTTCTGGGCCTCAAGAGGCTTGTCGGCTCTATTGGCTGCAAAGGATCTCTCTTGTGCACGTCAGGGCTGAGCTCCTCCACTGAGGTTCGGGACTACAGGCCAGCTTACCCCTAACTTCCCTTACCCCTAAATCCCCAAAACTTCCCCAAGCCCCAAACTTTTAGGAAGCCTTTTTGCTTCTGATCGAGGAATCCCCCACCCGAAATTCAACAAAAACCGCACAAGAAGGCTCTGCCCCTGGCTCTCTCTGGGTTTGCGTTCCTTCTCCAGGCTGTTTTCCAGGAGTACTCGTCAGGTCTTTACTCTTGACGGCATCCCTTGCTTTTGTAGGGGCTTACGGGCTTACGCAAGTTTTGTTGGAGTGTGTACGGGTAAGCCCAAAGTCCCGCTTTTGGTGGACTGCGGAGGTTGGGACTATAGGGGTCGAATAGAGCACCGGGGTGGGGTGAGGGGAGGAAGGTTTGTAGGGCTTCGAGTTGAGGCTTTGCCGTTGGTTAAAGGTTTGGCAGGGCAGGCTCTGTGTGAGCTTCAATCGCAACACCGCAATGCCTTGGGCAGTTGCGACGGCTTCTGCGCAAGAAATCCGAAAGCGGCGCTGGACATTGCTGGACATTTCATTGATCGACTCTGATTAAGACATCTCCAGCTGCTCCACCCCATGCCTTATACCCGATGTAGAGGACCGGGGTCTTGAGGATCTTGGGCACAAGGATGACTCTCAAGGCTTTATGGTTGGGGCGAGGCTTTTGGAAAGGAATCTAGTTCGTGGGCTGCAGGGCAGCGCGCCATGCAAAGAGGATTTTTGGGGGCGCAGCGAAATCTAATTCATTCCTAATTCATTCTGGCTCTCTAGAGCCACCGTACCTTGCAAGGATGCCTTGCGTGCGAGGTGGTCAGAAAATAGGAAGTGCGTTTGCATGTCCAGCACCGAACTACGATGCGGTGGCGGTGTCTCCGGTACGCTCTTTAATACCATCGGTGGCAAATGTCAGATTCCGGTACTGCAGCCTCTCGAACACATCGCGGACGTCAGTGCTGTCGCCACCGGGCCCTAAGCAGGGCTGAGTGGCTTTGAGCCTCTAGGCATGCATGGGAGCTTCCAACAAGATATGACCCCCTGAATTTCTCGGAGCCCCCCGCATCCTGAAAGACCTCAACCGAAAGGTACTCCCACGCGGGTTAAGAAGCGGATGGGTACCTAGATGTACCTAGGGTATAGGACAAGACGGTACAAAAACACACCACCTTCCCTGAAGTCCGCTGACCAAAGACCTCTCATGCCATGAACGGTCCAGAACTTGGACGCTCGACAGTCTGAGTGACATTCGTCTTCGGCATCCACAAGTTCAGGGTTTAGGAAGGGTCTGGGGTTCAAAGCTCTTCAAGTGAGGATTATGGGTTTAGGACCTCCGTACCCGGTGCTTACGGCAAGTATAGAGCCCAGCAGCCTCGGATGGCGGCGAGCACTTCGCCAAACAGGACCTCATCGACCCCTCAAACCCCAAACCCTTTCACACCCTTGCATTCTGTAGATTCTATAGTTCTAAGGGGCCATAAGTCCTGTAAAGCCTTGTTTTCTGTAGTTCTAAGGGGCCATAAGTCCTATAAACCTCATGATGCCCGGCGTCGGATTCGTACTTTGGGCCTTTCTGCCCCTGATGTTACGGACACCCTAGCGGCCCTAGCACGTTAGTGAAAGGAAATACTTCCAAGTATCCCGAAGTTTAGGTGTCGGCGTTCATTGGACATCTCGGATTTAGAGTTTAGTGGTCGAATCGTTAGGAAGTCGGGTCGTGGGCGTCCAACTCTTAGTCAGGCCTTTCTTGGTCCAGGAAGTTTAGGGTTTAGGGTTTAGGTTTCAGGGTTTAGGGATCCCTTCCCCCCCCTCCCCCACGGCCGAGCTTGCGCGGTGAACATCGCAACAAAACTGCGAAACAAAACAAGCTGAGGCCTCGATCTTCGTCTCCATGCGCCAGATGTCCAAAGCCTTCGCTGTCCTCATGTGCTCATCATGTTGAGGTGGTGAAGACACTTTTGCTTTAAGCTGGCCCAAGCATTAGCAGGTATAGTGGGTCACGTTGTATAGCATCCCCAACTCAATGTGAGCGGCCTCAGCCACACCGGCGATAAGGATGGTGAGCTGGCTACAGCTTACTTGCAAAATAGAGGTGAATTGGTGGCTATGTTGAAATGTTGCCTGTTTGGGCTGAAAGTCCCACGAAGCTTGGCCGCACCATCAATGAACTCGGTTAGCCTCGGTGCTTTCGGCATAAGCTTCTAGGGTGGGGACATCATGAGAAATATCAGAGCATACCTTTGGCTGTACTCAAACCCCAAAGTGCCCCAAAACTGAAACCTCACAACGCCAAACCCTGAAGCTGCATGGCAATCTCAATACAGTATCAAATGTTTGCATTCTAAGCTGTGTAGGTCTGGCAGCTCCCGTTTGGAACGTCCAAAGTGTGAAGTGCTGAAGTCCGGCCCGGGCACGTAATCTGCCCGTCTCCATTGTCGAGAAATTCAAAGAGGCTCAGTAAATCATGGTACTCCAAATCCAGCTGGCTCAGCAAGAACCTTGTTTCTGGCAGTCAGCGATCGCTGCTCATACTCGCAGGCAAAGAAGTGGCGCAGCTTCAATGTTCATTGTTGACGTGCAACCAATCAAACCGAGACACTTGAGCATTGGTGATTGGACCAACTTCGAGAACTCCTTGCTGGCGAGCCGAAGAACCGAGTCAAGGCGTCAAGAAAAAGGCGGGCAAAACACGAACCAGTGTCAGACGCTACTAGCAAAAGTTTACTTGAGCTGGGATCTTTAGAATGCTTAGGAAGCGGTTTGCAGAGTTTGAATGTACGGGCTTCCCTATCAAAGAATCACAGTTGATAAGAGGCCGGGCTCTTGACCTAAAGGATGCGGGCTGAAACCCCAAATGTGACAAAGGCGCTTCGCCCTGTCGTGTACAACTTGTCTTGGCTCTGTAGCCCGGAACCACATAGTCGAGCTTCTTATGTATATTCTACAAGTGTAAAGAGATCACATGTGCACAAATCTCTAGCTTTTCTTGCTTGTCTGCATCGCTTCATGACGTTCAGTGGTATAGTCGAACTGTGGTGAGCCATCAAGAACAACGGCGTCTCATCAGAGCCAAGCATCCTCAAAGTTTATGGCTCCATCACCGCTGGCATCCATCGTCTGAAACAGCTTCTTGACCTGCACTTGCACGCTAGTGGATTGAAGTGCGGAGATATGGAGTTGAAAGGGTGGGTTGACTACGTGGACTACGTTAGGTTTGTCTAGGGTTGGCAAGGTGCACAAACATGCTTCGGTCACGCACGGAGAGTTTGCTTGTGGCCTTAAACAGGGTTCACAAACATAACAGCTCTCTCGAACAACGAACGAATACGAGACCAAGACAGCTTCGGGCCACTTCTGAATCCGGGAAAAACAGGTTGCGGAAGCAGGCAACACAGGTGCACATAGCAAAGATGCAGGCGGGGGCATAAGAAAAAGTTCCACACAAGTACGGATCTTTGTGGGATCCAGACACGACTCAACTTCAGCCCAGAGAGATAGGAGACGATTCCTGCGAGATGTAGGATCCAGGTTGCAGGAGGTTCAAGCACGAGAGATCCTGCATGATTTGTCGATCTTGATCACTCAGCGCATCCATGGCTAGAACCTAATGCCAATGCTAAGCATTGTACTGAAATCCCTGCTGTCTCTGAGACCTTCTGGTTGTTAGTAGGGAATGAGGGAATGAGGGCCCCATATATACCCCTTAAGGGATTATATAGGGCAACTCCCTGCGAAGAACCAGCCGGGAGAGGGCTACCTTGCGAGTGTAGCTGGCCAGCTCCTTCTCCTTCTGCTTGAACGCCAGCTCCTCATCGGAGCTTGCGATTTTCATAGTCCTCATCGCCGCGCGGCACGAAAGCTTGATGGAATAGGGTCCCAAATGCCCCCAAGATTGGATCGCATTTGCAATGTCTTGATGATGCACTCGGGGAGCATGTCGGGGATGCCTATGCTTTCTGTTTCTAGGCTCGAGGTGTTGCTGTGGGCACACGATTGCAAACACAAAAGCTATAGCCTTCTAATGTTGCTGTGACATGATTCGGTATACCGGGTATACCGGGTATACCCTGTTTCTAGGCATAAACGCTGATGTTTCCCGAAGCCCAAACTCCAAAACCCCAAACCCTGAATGATCGCTGAGATGCTGCTGCACGAAGACGGCATTGACCTTAGCAAGAAAAAACAACACGCAGCAGCACAGTCTTGTCTGTGGTGTCGCAGTAAACTCTACTTCCAAAATGCAAGTAGCAAGGCTAATGTGCATACCTTGAGCAGCCCTGCACCTTACTACGTAAAGGCAAGATTTTGCCAACAGTGAATTCAGGTCTGTAGTGGGCTACAGGCGAGCCCTCTACAGCCTCAACCCCAGCGGACCATGATCTTCAACCACTTCATCGTTTCACCTCTTGAGCTTCTAGGGAATTGGGGATCAAGGTACCCTAGGACCCCTTCGACGTCAGGGACAACTTTGGGAGTTAAGTGCCCTGGGATTCTTGAAGAGGGTTGTGCAAGGGGATGTGCGACCTCAAAGTACCACTAGGAAAAATGGCCTTGCTGCCAAGCACGGATGCAATGTGAACATGTGGTCGTTTTAAGGCAGCAAGCTTGTCATCCTGCTCCGGAGTTGCTACAGTAGGGCCTAGGGCCAAGGCCTTGAGACCACTGCCTTTGAGTTGATGGCGCTCCGGCATGAATGAGGCCTTATAAGGTACCCGCCGAAGCCACGGGATGCCTACAGCATCTCCCCAAAAGCCCAATGCAAAGCCCAACCCGAGACTCCAATCTTTTTTCCTCCGTGGCATTTGAAAGCGGCCGGTATGACTCACCTGGCTCTGCTTTGCAGAGGCAAGTGACGCTACTCAGACGACTTGAACCTGCGAAATGGAGAACTGGATGTCCCTGGGGTGCTCGGAACAGTTGCAATGAAGTCAGCTGCTTTCAGCTGACCAATCTTCTCAGAGACCGCGTCGCGCAGCTTGATGAGGCTGCCCTGGAAGGTGAAGACGAAGTCCTCACACAGCATGTCCTCCACAAACAGCAATGTCGCTTCGACCTTTGCTCGGAGTGCCCTCAGCCGCTGTAAAGCTGGCAGGCAGCCGCCCACTACAGAAACAGGCTTCTGTGCTGCTTCCTTTGTCATGCTGCTGCGAAGAACCTCCAGCTCCTCAAGGGTCATGTGGTGCAGCGACTCGTTCCAGGAGCCAGCGCTCACTTTGACGCCCGGGCTGAAGACGCACTCACACAGCGCGTCGGACTGCGATTTCTGCAACTTTGCGGTCATGGCCTGCTGCTCTCCCTTCCGCATCGTGAGCATCGCGTCGATGTCAAGCTGGCCTCTGCTATCGAAGAACCGAAGCTCGATGTCCAGATCGTCTTGATCGTCCGTGGAGAAATCAGGTGCCGGGGGCGCCACAGGTCCTGCCAGTCTCGTTGGAGATGCGCTTTGTGGCCCAGCCCTTCCAGTTCTTCCGAACTGTAACCTGTCAAAGAAGATCAGAAAACGTGTGATGAGGGTGCTCTTGTCAATCTCGTTGGATGGTGGAGGATGGTTGACACCAGGGAAGCTCAGTGCAATCTGCTTCCATGCGCTAATGATCTTCTCTCGCGATAGTTCACTTAGCAGCTTGTGCATTTGGACAGCATCTGCCGAGACATCATGGCCATCAACCATACCCTCACTGACAAAGCTCCCGCTCTCAAGCGCAACCGCGCGGAGGATGCCATCCGCACTCTTTACGAACAGCAGCACCATTGCCTTCACGGCACAGAGCGGCCCTACTCAAATCAGGCTGTTCCTGGCAATGTTACAATTACGTGGTGGCCATCTTGATTGCCCTCAAGCCTAGATCCTTGGATGCTCCCTGATTCCCTTCACCCCAAAACCCTTCCACTTGTGAAGCTGTCGTCGGAAGCAGCTGCAAATGGAACCCCACTGCTTGCAAAGGGCTTATAGAAGTCTAAAAAGGTTTTGGTGTTCCTTTCACAAGCCGAAGTTCCCTGAATCCTGAACCCGATATACCGAACACGCATGCTGAAGAGCCGACACTTCACTGCGGAGAATGGAAAGCGCCGCACTCGGAGCGGTTTAGGATGGTTTAGGATGCGGGCACCCTCCCAAAGCTCAACCGTATAAACTCGAAGGTCTCAGAAAGTCCTGACCCTTTGTCGACGAAACTGCGGAGTCCACCACGTCTTCATTATGGGCTGTAAGGGGTTGGTCGCGGCAGTTGGTGTTCACCGACAACGCAACACCGAGGCTTCCACCACGTTGAGCACTGCGAAACCCAGGAGACACCTCGCCAGCAGAAGGGTTCAAGGCTTTCGGGGGGCAGGGATCGGTGTTTGGTAGTTCTTCGTCTTCGTCACCATTTCGTGTGGCTGCAAAGGCTTCTGTTGAGCTTCTGCTGGACGCTGTTGGTTCAGGTAGGTATCATATTGACATCTAGCACCTCGTGCGTGCCGACAGGCCTGAACTATGCCTACACTTGGTGAGGTGGCAGAATCCCACCATTTGGAATCTCATGTATCTATCCAGCACACAGGATCCCAGTGCTGGCGATGTGGCATCAGTTCGACTGCTGGACGTATGGGTGTCATTTGGTCATGCGAAACCCTTGCGCAAAACCTGAGGTACTGCTTCTCGAGCAGCCTCGCCTGTAGAGCAGGAAGAACGTCCTTAGCACATATCATCGGTGTGCACCACGCGTGTCGGCTACGAAATGCGATGCCTTCTTCAGAAGCTATATGGGGTAGTATAGGATGCGACAAACACGAAAAGGGTCATCTGGGCACCTTGTATGATGCAACCCTTCACATGCAAGAAAGGAGGCTGTGACATCAAACGGGCCTAACTGAAGTGACCTGCAGAGAGGTTTGTTGAACGAACTCGGGGGGGGGTTTCTTCGCATCCTCCTCAGCTCTGGAACAAACATGCATCACCCACGACCCGAAACCTTTCTGAAACAGCTTCTTCCAGGCTCTAAGCTCAGTCCAAGCGTCGAGAACCATTCGCTAATGTTCTCCATGAGGAGGCGGCATGGCACAGCCCAATTTGCGAAGAGGATCTCAAACCTCACGCGGCTGATGATACTTGGCTGGACGCGGACCTGTTGGGGGTACATGCTTTCTCGAATGCCGACCTGTATATAGCGGCACTCGCGCTCCGCAGAGCGTAACCTGTGGGTTGAAGAAATGCCAGATTCAGAGAGACCTTGAAGTCAAGAGAAGCCTTGCTGGCAAGAAAATAGCCTGTTCTGGCAAAAGTGGTCCTTAAACCTCACGCGGCGGAGGGAAGGCGCGCTTGGAGGTTTGTGGCTGTAACAATGGGGTCAATTTCGGGGCCTCTGCGATCGTATATTTCTCATCGTTTTTCCTGGGCTAGATTAACCCACTCTCTATTCGACGAACGCGTACCAATGCGGGCCAACAGCCTTTAAGGTTTAGGGTTTGGGTTTTGGGCTTGGCCTTGGGGTTTGAAACTTAAGGTGAGGTGCGGGGTTTAGATGGGTTTTAACGTTCAGAACGTGCATGGAGCCTAGGGTTCGTGTTTCGTACATTGTGAGGTCAATGCTCGAAGTTTCTTGCAGAGTCGAGAAGCATCGTCAGAAAAGTTCTCGTGAATGTGCCAAAGTAGAGGAAGACCTCTTCTCCTTGGCACGGTTGCAAGACAGTCGCATGTCGCGTGCGAGTGCCTAGAGGGCCTAGCGTACCGCCGAAGGCGAAAAGCGGCTTCTGAATGATCTGATGAGAGAGTGGGTCTGATTGAAACTGCTACGACCTTGAGGCATTAGCCTGCCTACCCTTCTAACGTATCCAGAAAAAATCCAGGCCGACACCCAGAAATGAACCCTAGAATCCCCACTGGCCCTACGAGCCCTAGGAAGCCCTGTACAAACCCAACCCAGCCAAGACTCGCATCTGGAGATTTTGAGTGTCATCAGTGATAAAATCCCGGCACAATGTGCTTGCCACCATGCCAAACACGCACCTTAGCTGCTGGCCAGTGATCCCGTGCAGCTTGAGCACCAGTCTTGTGGCGCAACTGCTTGCCGCTTGAGTTGTGTAGGGGAAAGTTTAGCCGTTTTTGTTTAAAGGGGTTTGGGTTCGAGTACCCCGAATCGGGTTAAATGCTTGTTGGGTTCAGGGCTTAGTACATTACGGCTTAAGAGTACAAGTACGTATACTTCAGAACCGAAGACGACGCGTCAGGGCACACTAATGAAAAACTTGCAAGCCGTAGGGTTCAGGTTTCAGGGTTTTAGGGTCTGGGTTGAAGGTTACACTCAGGGTTTAGGGTTGTTAAGCCTACATGATTGTTGGTTGCAGCACCCGAATTGCAGGACATGTTCCCTAACATCGCAGGTCATGACGGAACCCTAATCATTGTGCTCATATGACGAACAGCAGGAAACTTAAACTGCTCAAATAACTAGAGTAGTCACATAGCTTCTGCTTTGGCCTCGAAGTACTTCATGGCATTAGGGTTTTTTGGGGAGGGGGGGGGGGGGACAAACCACGCCGATGCGATAGTACTGGAGATGCGGCTCGAGTGAGCAGCATGACGCAGTCTACATATCAACGTACTAGTAGGTCGTGGATGGTCGTGAGCTTTGACTGAAAGTTGATATCCAAGACGTTGAGACACAAACCTGACACCAAGAGCGCTTTACGAATCTCGGCGCGAGATTCAGGTAAGTAGTGGGTTGCCAGGAAAGCGTGCTGTTCACAAAGGAGGGTGGCTTATAAACCCCGGTTCTACTAAGCTGCCAACAGCCCTCACCCCGAGCTCATTGTCCATGACCCAGGGTTCAGGGTCGCCCGTAGTAAGGTTGAGACATGTCGGGAGGAGCACAATGGGGCTGCAGCTCGAGCCCGCATCTCTTCTGTACTACAGTGGTCGTGTACTTGCTAGACCCTCAACAATAAAACCTGTGCCCTCGCTGGATTCTGCACGGCGAGCTTCTGGAAGAATGTGAGCAGGCAGAAGCTCCAAAACAGCATCGTGGTGCTCGAAGCCAAGCACCTGCTTGAAACTGCATCCTCCCTGTCACTTACTGTCACTTAAGGGGCGAACTATCTGGACATCGGGTTGTGCATCAAATCTGGAACAAAATGCCCTCAACCATGCGCCAAATGCCCGAAAACCTAAAGCACACATGGCAAGCTCATGCAAGGTCATTACCCCAGCATCCTGGAATCGAGAAAAGGGGTCGGAACTGGCTCTAGGGTAGTTTCTATTCTCAAAATTACAGGGCGTGGATGATCGTAGGGAAAAATCTAGGCCCCATGTCTTAGCTTCACGCCATGATCTCGGGCCTGGTCAGGATCTGAAGGGAGTTCAGCACCTGGGAAGCGAACGCGTTTGGGGTTTTAGGGTTTTAGGGTTTCGGGTTTTAGGGCTTTAGGGCTTTCGGGCTTTAGGGTTTTAGGGTTTCATGGTTTCAGGTTTTGAGGGTTTTAGGGTTTAGGTTTTGGGTTTTGGGGTTCGGGTTTGGGGTTTAGAGGCAACTAGGCCTTCACAGACAGGACCCCCTAAGCCCTACACCCCAAACCATACTCTAAGCCCTATGCCCGAAGACCCCCTCAACCCAACCTCCGAATCTTTGAACAACACAAGCATACTGAAAGGGCGCGCAGCTCGGGGACTCTAAGCCCTTTTAAGTCTCCATCGTAGTTTTGGGGGGTTTAGGGTGACTAGGGTTGACGCATTCCGCAAAGTGGGGGGCTTTTCAGGTGTTTAGCGGATTTAGGGCTTAAGTTGTGCTCGGCCGAAGGATTGAATTGCGTGATGTGGGTTTAGGTTGATTGAAGGTTCGGAGTTCTTTAATCCCCGCGCCCTAAGATTTGGGGTTTCAAGCTTTTTGCACCAGCAAGGAATTTTTGGGGCTCAGGACCCTAGCTAAGTTCCAAAATCTGAGCCCTAAACCCTTAGGTCTCCAACCTTTGAAAACCCCGCTCACAGCCGCGCAATCTGTACATCATTCGGGTGGGGGGGATGCGGGGTAAGGCTCGAGGCCAGCAAGTTAATTAAGTGCTTTGGGCTCTTAATGCGTGAATCTTCGACTTTGCAAGGACCATAAACCTTGCCATATTTTGGTAGCATTGCAGGGAGCGTTCATGAGCAATTCTAGATAAACAGTATTATGGCTCCATACATACCAGCCAGGTAGACAAAGTAAAAAACACCAGCGCTCCGTGACGCCATGTCCAGCCATGACTAGGCACGCTATTCATCGTGACCATCCGCACAGCCCGCGCCAACTTGCCCAGTCGGAGCAGGCGGAACAGAACCGGGTTGACGTTCACATCCTCCTCGGCAAGAACGGGATTGCTGCATTTCTGCTTGGCACGCCCCACAAGAAGACAAGCCTGGTTGTAAGACAATCCCCGATGGTGCACTCTCAGACAAGCCCCACTGTTAGTGCGGCTTGGCTTTGGTTTGTCGACTTCGCGCCGGACATTGGCAGGCTGGCTAGTATTATCATTATTATTACGATGATTATTAGTATTATTATTTACTATTTTTTTCATTATTTATACTATTGTTATTATTGTTCTTGTTGTATTATATATGACAGCAAGGGGCGTGTATGATTTTCAGTGCTGTGGGCTGCCGGGTGGCAAGCAGTGTCGGTGTTGAGTACACAACCACCACTTCGACGACGGAGATGATCGTGACCACGAGGTCCAAATAGTTCATCCCAACCTGTGCAGTCTGATGCCTACTCGAGGTCATCCATTCTCACACCATAAACGTGAGGGTCATCTTGGCATTCATCCTCGTATGACTGGAAGAGTTGAAGAAGCACTCTACAACTTGGTCAATCCAGGGAGCTCTCCAGAATGCCCGGCGAAGAACGGTGATGCGAATAGCAACATCAAGCGCAAAGATGACCGTAAAGATCCTCGGGACTAAGATGTCTTAAAAGGCAGGCTGGGCATGATAAATTTTGAAACGAGAGCTTTGGGCCAGCCCAACATGGTGTGCAGCCTCCTGGGCACTTTAGGACCAAGGACTTCCCGCACTGGCTCTTTACGCAGCACAGCGGCAGGTCGCCGACCGGGAAAATCTCCTTCGGAACGGCTGTCTCTGACGCAAAGCGCGCAACAAGCCTAGACTCTTTGACGCTAAACCCTTAACTCATCTTCTCCAAACAGATGAACTTGCCACTGTAGCTTGCGCAGGCAGAGGGGGTGGTTGGCTGGATTCAGAGTGGCTCAGGGAGCTGCGCATCCTCAGGAAATTTGCAACCTCCCACAATCAGGTTCAGGGAGTTTGTGCCTTCGGTTTGAGGTTTATGTGTTGCCTTCAAGGGCTTATTTTTCTGTAAGCTGTAACCTTGCCCGGCTTCCTAAAACGAGTGGGTGAACTACGATGCTCCTTCGAGGACACAAGCCCTCAACTTTACAAACCCTACAAACCCTACAAGAACCCTACAAACCCTACAGACTCTACAAATTCCACAAACTCTACAAATTCCACAAACTCTACAAACCCTCAACTCTATAACGCAGCTGTCCCCTCCAATTCCTTTATTTCTTTATATTACACATGTTCTACGATTTCTCTCTCTATCTATCTATCTATCTATCTACATATATATATATAGATAGGTATGTTCATGTAATCTTATGTGCATGTATATGTATATATATACACAATATGAATACTTTATATAAATAGACATATCTGTATTCATGATGTAGTTTAAGAGCTGCGGCAGCCCAGAAGTCCTGGCGGCTGCGCCAGTCAGCCTCCACCAACGCACTCATGTAGAGACCCAAATCCTGGGATGTTGAGCAGGTCTGGTTTTAGGGTTTAGGGTTTAGGGTTTAGGGTTTAGGGTTTAGGGTTTAGGGTTTAGGGTTTAGGGTTTGGGGTTTAGGGTTTAGGGTTTCTACGGGAAGGCTCCCACTTACTTTTCGTAGCTACAGCATGGCATTCAGGATAATACCCCCGAAATCCACAGGAGAGCAGCATGTCCCACGATCGTCCCTGAGAGTTGGAGCTCCACGGCCATCCAAAGCACCTGGGCTTACATGGGGGTTTTCCCCTTTCGGGGGTCCCTCTTTGAGGGGATTCCATTCTATGTGGGGAGAAAAGGGGCAGCCCTATTTTGGGAAATAGCCACATGGTTCCTTCTCGTGAACTAGTAGGCGTTCGTGCTTTTTGGCTTCAGTTTTTTTGGGTTTTGGGTCTACATGTCGTGTCCTCCAACCTGCCTACTTCGAAGGGGTAAAAGGAACTGCCTGGGGTGCTGATGATTGGGAATCAAACTTCCAGCGAGGTTACTCGTTTCCGCGGGCTTGAGGGCTAGCAGTTAGTTTAGAGCTTAGAGCTTAAGGTTTCGACCAAAGCCCAAAACCCTTTCTTCTCAAGTCTAATCGAGTCACGTTAAAGGACAGCAGGATGGCGATCAGCAGCTCCTCGGCTGGAAGGTCGAAAGGGAGGATTCGGTAGGTTTGAAGAGTTCATTCGGGTTTCGGGATTCGGGTTTGGGGGCTTCAGAGATGTAGGATGTATAGGGCCTGAAGATCCTTTTTTGGAGTAGTTTTGGGGCTCCGTGCTTGAAAACTACAGTCCCAGACCAGGGTGCAGTGCCGTGGATACCTGTCCCCGAATACTACTGTTGCACGACTTTTCCACCGTTGCCAAACCTTTATCGCGAAGCGCTTGGTAGTGGACGTGTTCATTTTTGCCACCGAGCACCCTAAACTCTACCTAACGAAACCCTCAGCACTTAATCCAAAACTGGTTGGTGTTCCTGGCTCCAAAATTCATGAAAAATTCGGGAACATTCATATCCTCAGCTTCTGGGGAACTAGCTGCCCGTGCGAGGACAGGTGCAGGGTGTAGGGTTTGGCGAATTTGGGTTCAAGGCTAGGCATAGGATACTTACTTTCCCCTTCAAGATGGGCACACATCTTGCTGTTAAGCTCGCTTGTGTGAAACCTCTGGCTTGGAGTCCTGAAGCCCGAAGCTTATAGGCACCCCAACTTTAGTTCCCCTTCATGTGTCTACCTCTCCGCCCACCCCCCTTGTCAAAACGAGCTGGAACACGCTCAACCCAAACCCAAGAATCAAGAAGTAGCAGCGGAGCGGCGTATCGGTTGGACTCGAGGAAGGTCTGAATGCGTCGATACGTCGAGTTCCTGGACGACAAATCCTTCGGACATGTTCGGACGTTCAGGGCTTCTGGGTTTGGGGTTTAGGGCTAGGGTTTAGGGTTTAGGGTTTAGGGTTTAGGATTTAGGGTTTAGGGTTTGGGGTTTAGGGTTTAGGGTTTAGGGTTTAGTGTAACCCAGTAAACTACGTAGTAACCTATGTACCATGGACATTGAGAAGCCACGGGGCGCTGAGCGCCGCGTGATGCTCGTTGATCTTGGAGGTTCCTACCCTAATCCTTGGGGTCGCCCAAACAACCCTTCTGAGAAGCCTTAGAGATCCTCATTACCTGTTCCCTAATCAGACTGTCTGCGGGTTGAGGCATTTAGGCATCAGGCCGGAGATTGGGCAGCTTAAACTAGAAATCTTCATCGCGGCAGTCTAAGCAACCAGCACTGCTGTCACGTCTTGCGTCCCCGGCACTTCTAGAAGTGGTGGGTACAAGGTTCGACTACTCGGTTCCCCGTTCGCCCAAGAATGAAAAGGGTGCCCTGTTTTGTTTAATCGGGTTTAGAAGAGTCTAAGACAACCGAAGCCATTAAGCAAGGGAACACGGGGTAAGAAAGCTTTCGGGCCGTGACCAAGTCGAACATGTCGAGTCGGACAAGCACGCCGGTCGAGTTGGGGTCGAGTCGCGAAAAACGGTGCTTCCCGTGTCCGGGGAAGCACCTCGCGGGGCAAGGATACCTCAAACCCTAGGCCGACTCACCCGGCCTCAACTTGAGTGCCCTATAGTCGCTTAGGGGCCCTCTCTCGAGAAAGATAATGCAGGAGGTGGTGTCATGCAAAGCCTTGGGCAAGAGCCGAGCGCAATTCGATCCGGCCAAGAAAGAAACCCTCTACATCCCAGAAAATCACTCCCTTGAACCCCGAGAAAGGTATGGTTGGACCCCAGTCCCTTAAGATGGTGTCGAAGTTGACACCAGAAACCCGAAAAAGGGCCCTAACATCTTCTTTCGGGTAGCTTGGGCTGGAGCTGCGGAGTGTACAGGGCCAGCTATTCGGGGTAGGGGCTTTTGGCAACTCCGAAACGCCCAGAGGTCCTGATCGGGCATACCGACGAACTCCGTGGTCCCAGTGTCTGGTACTTCCTCGATGCCAGTGGCTAAAAAACTTAGAGTAGGCCGCAGCTCTCGAGAAAAAAAAGGTCGCGCGTCGCAAGTCATGTCCAGACTGTCAAGTGGCATCTGGCAGGAGTTGTTGAAGATCTTGGGTAGTAACGCCCTTCCCGCGTCCCAGTGGCGACGTATTTTCCTGCTGGCTTGAAGGCATGGACAGCAAGCAACATGGGATGAGTTCGGGACTTCGGCAAAGGACTGAGCATACAACGGACAATTTGGTTTAGGGGTGTGCAGGCAGACATTTGCATAAAATACGTGGAAGTGCAAACAAACGAGTGCCCCTCTGTGCGATGTGCCCCGCTACATGGCAATCATTCGGGGAATTAGGGCGCCAAGTGTGGGTGGCCTGAAAAACCCTGAACATCCTCAGCCCCGAGCCCTCTAAAGCCTTGGATTCTACAGGAGTTTAGTGTTTTTTGTAGAGCCTTTGGGAAGTGTTTTTTTTTTGGGGTTTCACGTTTGGGGTTCGTTGGGGGCCTTGGGTGCGCGATCTGCACTACTACCATGTCATCCACACTAGCTTAGAACTTGCCAGTGGCTCGCGTCATCTCGCGTCAGGGACTCGGCTGCATGGAGTGTCAAGAGGTGCTTTGGCCGCCCCCGTGCCAAGAAGAAGAGTAATTAAGCATGATGATGATGATGAAGAAGAAGATGAAGAAGAAGATGAATATGAAGATGAGAGGAAGAGGAAGATGAAGAGGAAGAGGAAGATGAAGAATAATAAGAAGACGAAGAATAACAAGAATAATAATAATATGATGATGATGATGATGATCATGTACAACGAACAAACACAATACGAATAACAAACAAATGATAACTGCAAGAAGTCAGCTGCAGTCTGTAAGAAAAAACAACGATTTAATGCTAATCAGGATCATGAGATAACTCCGTCACACGGACGTTGCGGGTCCTTGTTTTCCACAGTGAGTACTTCTGCGACCGAGTCTGCGTGCACTTCGCGCAGGCCATCTTTCTGCCTGCACAGGGTCCCTAAACTCTGAATCTGAGGGCGGTACGAGTGATTGCTGGGCCGGCCGAACCCCGGAGGGTACTGCAACTTCCCAAGCGAACGCAATAAACTCCAGAAAGGTACGTCGTCGTCGAGGGCACCCTAAAACCCTCAACCCCAAACCCCAAACCCGAAACCCTATCCCCTGCTCGAGCTGTGGGGGTACCCTGGATCAAGCCCAAGGGGCTTGCACATCAGTGCCGAAACCCGCCGCTTCGTGGCGTGCCCCGTGCTGAAGTCTTGCTGCCTAGGGGTTATCAGGACTCAAGGGGTGGGGATTGGGAATTGAGGGTTCAGGGTTTGGGCTTTCTAGGTTCCAAGATTTCACTGGGAAAAGCAGATCAAGCAACTCAACCATGTATTTCATGTTTCATTTCTTGGTTTTTTTTTTGTGTGCGGTGTGTGTGTGTGTGTGTGTGTTTTTTTTTGGAAGGGGGGGTGTCCTAAGAACCCAGCCCTGCCACAAGATGAACAATGGACAAGGCAGGGGATCCAAGGCAGGTTCCCGACGCCTCTCGCAACTCAGGAAACTTGCAACTTGCAACCCTCCCTTCCTAGAGTCTGAAACCGCAAGCCCTGCATTCTTAGCCAGAAGTGTCGAAAGCCCCTCAGATCCCCAGACCCCAGACCCCAAACCAGCAAGCCTTGCTAACACTAACAGCTCCTGAGTAGGGATTCATAGTACTCCCTAGTATAGTCCCTAATAAGGACTGTGAGTATAAGGGGGAACATCCCAAAGCAAGCCCTTCAAGTGACGACTTTGCTGCAGGTAGGAAGCCGATCGCCTCTCGGACTTTCGACGACCTCATGCGTGAGAACCCGAATCAGGAGCAGCTGAGGGTCAGCTTACACAAAAGGTCCAGGTAGCCCCGGTAGGTGTTTCGCCCAAAAAGGTCCCCCGAATATACCCCCAATATAGTCTAATCCTTCTATAGAATCCCCCAAAAGGGTCCTCCTATTTTCGGACACCCCCTGGTAGGTTTAGGGAATACTTGAGGCCTCATCTGGTCTTAGGTACCTGTATTACCTTCTGCTTCCAGCCTAACAGGTTTCGATCTTCAGCTGGCACCCATGGTAACCCTAAACCCTGACACCCCAAACCAAATCCTAAGCCCCGAACCCTAAATCCTAAGCCTCTGAGCTCAAGTCCAGTGCAGCTGCGGATCCGAGCTTTTGGGGCTAGCCAACCTGGAACTGGATCCGCGCGGGCTGGTCCGTGGGCTCATACGGGAGCCGGGCTCCTTCGTTCGGTTGCTGGGGTCCAAGGTTTGCAGTGACCCAGGCAAAAAACGCACATACTTGTCGGACTACTTACCTAATATAGGGACCAGAACCCCAAAAAGTAAATCTAAACAAATATACTACTTAACAGCCAGCTCTTTTAGGGTTTAGGGTTTCAGGGTTCAGGGGAGGCTTATCAGAGGGAAAGGGTCTGGGGCAGCTAGAAGTCACAAGAGTTCAAGGATGTAGAGTCTCTGCGTTTTGGAGATCAAGGGTTCAGAATTGAAGGGCTTCAAGAGTTTTTCGGGTTTGGGTGTTTCAGGTTCTGCATGGCCTTGTGCTCCAGGGGCGAGGATTCCACCGGACTCTCTATTTGGCACATCCATGCTATGTGGCACCAAGCACAAATGTGTTGTGGCAGGATGTAAAACCCTTGCCACGGCATTCTTCGTGCGACTAGGTGGCATCCGGTGGCAGCCAAATGGTCGACTTGGCCGTCGCCCTCCGGCACACAACATCGGATTATCGCTCCCAAACTCCAAAAACCCTAGACCCTCCACTGCGTACTCCGTAGTATGACGCTGGCACTCAGAGCCTAAACCACAGACACAGACCCTTAATCCCCCACGCATGCTCAAGCCATAGGATCGGTCTTGAGGTCTGGAGACCCCTGAACATGAAGCCACCTTCCAAATCCCGAGCCACTCCCGACCCCGCACTTTGAGCTCTTACGACCAAGGTGCAGCTCAAGCAGATGTTGTTGGGCCAGCTGCTCAAACAAAGCACTGATGGCAGGCGAAAGGCTCTGATGAACCGCTGCCTGCGGAGCTCGGAGCTTGGGTTCGTGAATGTAGGATTCGGGGCCTTTCTTTCGGTGATCTTCGGTGGCGGAATATTCAAGAGCTTGGCGAGCTTGGAGTTAAAGGGTGGCTTACAATTTGCTCCGACCATCATGGGGTCGGGGTGCACGGGTGTCTGGGCCGCCAGTCCAGACCAAGAGCTACCAAACCGAGATTCGCTGCGGACCCTGCAAGATGCGTATTTGGGCTCCTGGACCCTTGAGATACTAGCAATGCTGGCCGACTAACATATAGGCTGCCATTATAGGCTGGTTAAGATCTTTTTATTCTAATTTTTGATGTTGAGGGCTAAGGCTCATGGAGCGTGTGGTCCAAGGGGTTCACTTTCGGGGGCAACTGGGGCTCAAATCAGAGGGTTTTTATGGTTTTCAGGCTTTATGAGGCTTATGCTTAGGCTTACTATAGTCTTATTGGGCTTTTAGGGCCTGTAAGGCTTGCGGAGTTCCAGGGTCTGGGATTCAAACCCTGACCCTGTCCCAAGCCCCTTCCGACCTTCTGGCTAACACGCGGCAGAGGCAGTGCCAGTGTGAGCTTGGGATCCTGACTGGGATCTCGTGAGTGGGGAAGCCAAAGCTGTAGAGCTGTTCTGCGTAGGAACTTGTAAGGCGTTTTTCATATCTACTCCACCCAGGTCTGGGTAGCTTTGGGGTTCTTCAGGCAGGGCTGCGGGTCTAGGGCTCAGGGGTCCAGGGAGCTTAGCTCGGCGATACGCGCACGTGTACAGTGTTTACAAACGTACATATTTGGGAACATAGAAAGGCACATAAGGCGAATTCCTCCACCCCCTGCTGTACAAAGTATCGCCGAGGGTTAGTGGCTAGCGCCTCGTCCCACACCTAGGGATGTTCAGGTGGGCTTATGCCAACTTGAGCCCAAAGTAAACAGGTTGAGTGCCGCAGTGCAGCAGACCTGCAAGCTATTGATATGCAGAGGTTTGGCTTCGCCTTCATTTTTTTTCC